GGCTAATTTTTGGTTTATTGTAGAGATGAGGTCTCACCAAATTGCCCAGGTGGGTCTCAAACCCGCGGGCTCAGGCAATCCCCTCACCTCGGCCTCCCAAAGCGTAGGATTACAGTCTGAGCCACTGAGCCTGGCTCAGATCATTTTTTATTCTTTGTAATTACCCATTCTCCCAACTCTGTTGTCCAGGCTGGAGTCCAGTGGCACAATCACGGCTCACTGCGGCCTCAACCTCCTGGGCTGAAACAAGTCTCCCACCTCAGCCTCCTGAGTAGCTAGTACTACAGGCACCATTCCTGGCTAACTTTTTTGAGTTTTTGTAGAGGCAGTTTCTCGTTATGTTGTCCAGGCTGGTCTCAAACTGCTAAGTGCAAGCAATCCTGCCTCTGCTTCCCATAATGCTGGGATTACAGGCGTGAGCCACCACACACAGCCATATTGCCTGTACTCTTAATTTAGCATTTGTTATCTTGTATTGTTTATCCTTTCCTATCCTTGAAGATAGATACCAGGTCTTAAATCTGGTTTTAGTGCCTGCCTTAGCTCCTTGTTTAGGGTAGTTACTCAAAGATATATTGATCATACTATCTACCAAAATTTATTATTTACCTTTCAGGATCTATATGATTTTATATTTACATGTTGTATTGGCTCCTATTTAACTCCTAGTATGTTAGATTTCTAAAATTATTCATGTTATACTCAATGGTCAGGTGGCTTTTTTGAAATTTGCTGAAGGTCTAAATATTTCGTCTTGGGAGCTGGGCGCGGTGGCTTACACTTATAATCCCAGCACTTTGGGAGGTGGAGGCGAGAGGATTGCCTAAGTCCAGGGGTTTGAGACTAGCCTGGGCAACTTGGCGAGACCTCATCTCTACAATAAATAGAAGTATTAGCTGGACATGGTAACATGTGCCTGTGGCTCCAGCTACTTGGAAGGCTGAGGTGGAAGGATTGCCTAAGCCCAGCAGATCGAGGCTGCAGTGGCCTTGAGTGTGCTACTGCACTCCATCCTGAATGACAGAGTGAGACTCCAATAAATAAATATTTTGTTTTGGTTAAGCTTAATGTTTACATAAAATCATATCAAACAAACATGTTAAGACATTCTTAAACACTGAGAGACCCATATGTAAGGAAGTCATGCCATCAGTATTCACTAAGATGTTGTATTAACACCTTTCAAACATTCAGTAGATACTTGGGTCTCTACTGTGACAAATGCAGAGATGAATCAGATATGAATACCGATCCCACAGCTCCTAAGTAAGATTTAAGTAAATAAGATTTCTTTACACTCAAAGTGTACAATTTGTTTACAACTCCAATACAACTTGTTTACAATTCACACAAGGTCAAAGTGTTAGAAATTTGGACAAAGTGATTTGGGATTTGGGGAAAGAACAATGACCAAATACAGAGTGTATTTTCTTTTCTTTTCTTTTGAGTTGGAGTCTTTCACTCTGCCGCCCAGGCTGGAGTGCAGTGGCACACTCACAACCACCCCAGCGCCAATGACCTACTGGACTCCGGCAATCCTTCTGCCTCAGCCTTTCAAGTAACCAGAACTACAGGCATGTACTACAATACCTGGCTTGCTTATTTATTTATTTATTTATTTTGGAGATGAGGTCTCACGAAGTTGCCTGGGTTGGTCTCAAACCTGTGGGCTCAGGCAGTACACTTGCCTTGGCCTCTCAAAGTGCTGGGATTACAGGCTGGGCCACCAAGCCCAGCCACAGAATGTATTTTCAACTCTGTAGGGGATAAACTTATTCTGGTATCCGTGATAGGAGGAAAACCTTGCATATGTACATGAAATTCTAATTTCTTTGTTTTTCTATATACATAATTCCTGGCCCATAGAAGATTCTGTATTTTTTTCCAGAAAGTTTTACACTGCAGCATGTATTGGTTGAATAGATATATCCCATTGTAGTATATATGAAATACAAAATGAGGCACTTAGAATTAGAGAAGAGATAGCCAATAGCCAGGCGCGGTGGCTCATGCCTATAATCCCAGCACTTTGGGAGGCTGAGGTGAGAGAATTGCTTGAGCCCATGGGTTCGAGACCAGGACGACCAGCTTGATGAGACCTCATCTCTACAATAAATAAAAAAAAAAAATTAGCTGGACATGGTGGCGCATGCCTGTAATTCCAGCTGTTTGGAAGGCTGAGGCAGCAGAATCACCTGAGCCCAGCGGGTTGCAGCTACAGTGGCCATGAGTGTGGCACTGCACTCCAGACTGGGTGACAGAGTGAGACTTCAACTCAAAAGAAAAAAAAAAAAGAATTAGAGAAAAAATGACTATGGACTGGCATAACCAGGGAGAAGTGAGAGAGTTTAAATTGGGTTCGTTTAGCTTGGAGGGCATGAGATATAATATAGGTCTTAAGAATGGATGCAACTTGGTCAGTGATAGGGAGGACATTGGAAGGGAAAGCTTGAGCAAAGGCCTAGAGCCAAGGATATGGAAAATGTTCTACAAGCAGAAAGATTTCAGAAAAGGGAACAATGAGTAATAATGCATTGCAGTACTGGATACATAAGGGCTAAAAATATCATGGAAAGGAACTTGGACTTTTATCTTCTGGCTAATGGGAGCCAACTGAAAGTTTTTCATCAGTAGAGTTACCAATATCACAAATCATCAATAAAATTGAGGAGTGATTCCAACAATCCTTTTCTGTTTTCTTCTTCTCTATATTCACCCTATTTTCTCTTCCTTTTTTTTCTTTTTCTTTTTTTTTTTTTTTGAGTTGGGATCTCACTTTGTCACCCAGGCTAGAGTGCTTTGGCATGATCACAATTCACTGCAGCTTTGACTTCCTGGACTCAGGTGATCCTTCCGCCTCAGCCTTCCAAGCAGCTGGGACTACAGGCATGAACCACCACGCCTGGCTAATTTTTAAAAAATTAGGCTGGCTCAGTGGCTCAGTCTATAATCCCAGCACTTTGGAATGTTGAGGCGAGTGGAATGCCCAAGCCCATGGGTTTGAGACCCACCCGGGCAACTTGGCGAGACCATGTCACTGCAATAAATCAAAACAATTAGCCGGACGCGCGGTAATGTGCGCCTGTAGTTCCAGCTACTTAGAAGGCTGAGGTGGAAGGATCGCTGGAACCTAGCAGGTTGACGCTGGTGTGGCCATGAGCATGCCACTCACTGCAGCCCAGCCTGGGTGACAGAGTGAGACTCCAACTCAAAAAAAAAATTAGACTAACCTTGGCAACTTGGTGAGACCTCGTCTCTACAGTAAATCAAGAAAAATTAAGCCGGGCTCGGTGGCTCAGCCTGTAATCCCGTACCTTGGGAGGCTGAGGTGAGGGGATTGCCTGAGCCCATGGATTCGAGACCTGCCTGGGCAACTTGGCAAGACCTCATCTCTACAGTAAATCAAAAATCAGCTGGGCGTGGTAGCATGCGCCTGTAGTTCCAGCTACTTGGAAGGCTGAGGTGGAAGGGTTGCCTGAGCCCAGCAGGTCGAGGCTGTGGTGGCTACGAGCATGCCACTGCACTCCAGCCTGGGAGGCAGAGTGAGACTCCACTTTAAAAAAAAGAAAAATTCCTGGGCTTGGTGGCTTAGCCTGTAATCCCGCGCCTTTGGGAGGCTGAGGTGAGTGGATTGCCTGAACCCACGGGTTCGAGACCCACCTGGGCGGCGAGACCTCATCTCTACAATAAATAAAAAAATCAGCCCGGCGTGGTAGCGCATGCCTGTAATTCCGGCTACTCGGAAGGCTGAGGCGGAAGGATCGCTGGAGCCCAGCAGGTCGAGGCTGCGGTGGCCGGGAGCGGCCACTGCACTCCAGTCTGGGTGACAGAGTGAGACTCCAACTCAAAAAAAAGAAAAAAATTTTTGTAGAGACAAGGTCTTGCTATGTTGCCCAGGCTGGTCTCAAACTCCAGGGCTCAAGCATTTCTCCTGCCTCTGCCTCTGCCTCCCAAAGTGCTGGGATTACAGGCATGAGCCACCATGCCTGGCTATTCTCTTCCAATTTTTACCCCATCTCAGTCATCCCTTCTTTTTCCATTATCTTGGTCTAGCCCTAGTATACATATATGTAATACAGACATAATGAGAAGTTTGTTTTAGGTATAGTTTCTCACCCAACCAATCTGGTTTCCTGATCATTGTTTTTCATGGAACATTTAGACATAACAGAAAGTGTCACAGAATTCTGTAGTGCTATACCATGTTCCTAATTCCAATACTAAGTTAAATGAGATAATGGAAAATTTTTATCTCTAGTGGTTTAGCAGATTCAATCTAAGGCCAGACTATCAAATTAAACCATTGGCAAAGCTACCCTGTAGTTCTACTTTTAGCTATACCTGTGAATAAATAAAACTAAAGAACTCTGTCCCTTAGTTTTTGCTTTGATCACCTCCTAAAAGATGGTGTAATGAATAAGAGAATAGCATGTGAAAGCCAATTTGCTGGAAGAATATGATCATCTTGTTTATTTTTGTATCTAAGGAATTTAAAAACTGGTCAACTCTTAAAAAAGATGCACATTGATGATTCCTACCAAACTTCAGTGTGTCATAAAGCCTATTCTGAAAAGGTAAGTAAGGACCTGCTGGGACTACTTTATGTTTACTTTGTGTGTTACTCTTAATCTCACTAAGTGAGAGCAATAAGTACTAATAAACAGACCATCTCCCTGTTACCTATTTTTTTCTTTCTTTTTTTTTAAATTTGTTTTCTTACTCTGTCGCCCAAGTTGGAGTGCAGTGGCACGATCATGGCTCACTGCAACCTCTTCTTGCTGGGCTCAGGCAATCCTTTAACCTCAGTCTTCCAAGAAGCTGGGACTATAGGCATTCACCACCATGCCTGCCTAATTTTTTTTATTTATTGTAAAGACAGGTCGCACCATGTTGCCCAGGCTGGTCTTGAACTCCTGGGCTCTGGCAATTCTCATGCCTTGGCCTCCCAAAGTGTTGGAATTACAGGTATGAGCCACTGCATCCAGTGCTTTTTTTTTTCAAAATTAGATGGCATCGTTTGTTCTTTTTGAAACTTATGGATCAAAATAAATGTTAGTACAGTGTAATTATTTGGCAAATTTTCTGGCTGTGTGACTTGAAGAAAAAGCATTTATTTCTAGCTGTGAATTTGTTCTGAGATATATTATGCTTATTACAGATTTGACTGCCAACCACATTACTATAAATGATTTATGATGTGAATGAATATCCTAGAGAAGATGACTAAATGGTCCTAGACATGTTTTTCTCTGAAACTTTAGTGTTCTCATATAGAAACAAACACTGTTACTTAGCCATTATGATAATAGTCTTAGCTGGGCAACCCCTTCGAGTCTCCTCCCACTATGGGAGCTTTTCTGTCCTCTCAATAAATCCTGCTTTTTAAAAAAAATAGTCTTGGCTAAGCTAACAGTGTAGTTTTGACATCTGGACAAGGTGAAGTTAGTTGTCTAGGAGTGCAGAATACTACTTGAGAATCCTCCAGTGAACCTGTGAGCAGATGCAATAGCAGCAGGCTCAGCTCTTGTGTAGGGACAAACTTGACTAGTATCAGTGGCAACCCTGAGAACATCAGCACCAGAGACTCTGAACATGCATCTTCCCCTAACCTAAGAGGATTTGTAGAATGGCACTCAATCATTGCGTGATCTTAGGTAATCTATCACATATCCTTGAGCCTTTTTATATCCTTTACATAAAGACAACTCGGGCCAGGTGCAGTGGCTCATTCCTGTAATCCCAGCACTTTGGTAGGCAGAAGTGGGAGGATTGCTTGAGCCCAGGAGTTCAAGACCAGCCTAGGCCACATAGTGAGACCTCATCTCTACAAAAAAATTTAAAAATTGGCCAGACATGGCAGCATGCATCTGTAGTCCCAGCTACTCAGGAGGCTGAGGTGGAAGAATCACCTGAGCCCAGGAGGTTGAGGCTTTGGTAAACTGTGATTATACCAGTGCACTCCAGCCTGGATGACAGAGTGAGACCCTGCCTCAAAAATAAATAAATAAATAGGTTAAGTTCATCCCTAGAATTTACCTATTATGTGTTTAAATAATTTCACGTCTTTTGTATTACAACATCAATACCTATTTGTTTTTGGTTTTTTTGAGTTAGAGTCTCACTGTCACCCAGGCTGGAGGGCAGTAGCACACTCTGCCAGCGCAGCCTCAACCGCTAGACTCAGGTGATCCTTCCGCATTAGTTTTCCAAGTAGCTGGAACTACAGGCACATGCTACCATGCCTGGCTAATTTTTTTATTTATTGCAGAGTTGAGGTCTCGCCAAGTTGCCCAGGCTGATCTTGAACCTGCAGGCTCAGGCAGTCCTCTAGCCTCGGCCTCCAAAGTGCTGGGATTATAGGCGTGAGCCACTGTACCCAGCCCCTATTCAATATTAAAACTTTTTTGCAGCCTCGATCTGCTGGGCTCAGGTGTTCCTACTGCCTCAGCCATTAAGTAGCTGGAACCACAGGTGTGTGCCACCACACCGGGCTAATTTTTTGATTTATGGTAGATGAGGTTTTGCCAAGTTGCCCAGGCTGGTCTCAAACCTCTGGACTCAGGCAGTCCTCTCACCTCTACCTCCCAAAGTGCTGGGATCATAAGTGTGAGATACCACACCCGACTGATTTTTAAAACATTTAACAGGCCGGACACAGTAGCTCACACCTGTAATCCCAGAACTTTGGGAGGCTGAGGTGAAAGAATTGTCTGAGCCCAGGGGTCTGAGACCAGCCTGGGCAACTTGGCGAAACCTAGTCTCTAAAAGAAAAAAAAAAATTAACACGGGAATGTATAAGATAATAAAAGTCCTCCATAAAGCCAATCTTTCAGAAATAGTAGTTTATTATTTATTACACTGTTGTTTAGTGTAGAGGTTGGAAAACTATCCATAAAGGAGCAAACAGCAAATATTTTCAGCTCTGCTGGCTGTACAGTCTTTGTTGTAAATACTCTACTCTGCTGTTGTAGCACAAAATTAACCATAGATAATATGTAAATGGATGGATGTGGCTGTGTTCTAATAAATCTTTACTGAAACCTAAATTTTATATTATTTCACATGTCATAGAGTGTTATTCTTCTTCTGATCTTTTCAACTATTCCAAAATGTGAAAACATTCTTGGCTAGTGGAACATATAAAAAGAAGCATAGGCTCTTGGGCTAGATTTGCCCTGTGGGCTATAGTTTGTCAATCCTTTGTTAAGTATCTAGCATTTAACATTTTAAAATCCTCAGTTGTTTTCTAAATATAGAAGTTATTCAGGCAGGGCGCAATGCCTGTAATGCCCTTAATTCCAGCATTTTGGGAGGTAGAGGCGGGAGGATCGCTTGAGCCCAGGAATTTGAGACCAGCCTAGGCAACATAGTAAGAGCTCATCTCTACAAAAAATAAAAAATAAAAAAATTAGGCAATGGTAGAGCATACTTGTAGTCCCAGCTACTCAGGAGGCTGAAGCGGAAGGAACACCTGAACTCAGGAGTTCAAAGACTGTGTTGAGCTATGATCATGCCACTGCACTCCATCTTGGGGATCAGAGTGAGAACCTGATTCACTACATAAATAAATAAATGAATAGGCTATTATAGGCTGACCTAAGAATCCAGTCACCACTTACAAAATCATTTTAATGGGAAAATGTGTTCTGAATTTTTAAAAACCAATTTACAAATGAATGTTTCTAATTTGAGTACTGAATATGTTTATATGTCCTTTTTCTCCATGCCAAATTTTCCCTAAATGGATGATGTGAAATGTAGTCGTGTCTTGGGTGAAGGAAATTGACCAGTCAGCTAAATTCGTGCTGGCAAGACTGTCTGAAAAAACACTGGGAGCCTTATGCAAGAGAAGCCAGAAGTCCACCTTAGTTATAATCTCAATAGTTCCTGCCTGAAAAAAAAAAATGAAGCCAATGATTAACTCCTTTCTTTGGTTTTGTCTCTGCCAGCCCTTTCTTCTTCCCAGCATACTCTTGACTATCTATTTGGTTGTTCATTTTTCTCCTAAATTAGGGGCTCCTGTTTGTTGTTCTGAGTCATCCTTGTGCCAAAGAGAGTGAGTCATTGGGAAGCCCTGTGTTTCAGCTGATTGTGATTAACCCCAAGACGACCCTGAATGTGGGTGTGATGCTGTACTGTCTTCCTCAAGGGCAGGCTGGAAGGCAAGTGTGTGTGACTGCTTTTCAATGGGTGTAACATTTTGAAAGACACTGGGCAGATGCAAAAACTAGATATTGTTGTGTCACTTAGATGAATGGAAAATATGAAATACTACAAATCATAATAAGAATATTAAGAAATAGAATAACTTTAGTGGACTTGAATCAAACCCAGATTCCCTACATCCTGATCCCCACTAGGGATTAGATAGGTGTTTTTTTTTTCCAATGTGTATTCAAGCCCTGTTTTTTCCCATAAGGAAAATGTTTTAAAGATAAACAGAGTAGGCAACCCCCTCAGGTCCTCTCCTACTGTAGGAGCTTTTCTGTCTTCTCAATAAATCCTGCTTAAAAAAAAAAAAAAAGAGCCAGGCCGGTGGCTCAGTCTGTAATCCCGCACCTTTGGGAGGCTGAGGTGAGTAGATTGCCTGAGCCCGCGGGTTCGAGACCCACCTGGGCAACTTGGCGAGACCTCATCTCTACAATAAATAAAAATGAGCCGGGTGTGGTAGTGTGCGCCTGTAGTTCCAGCTACATGGAATGCTGAGACGGAAGGATCGCCGGAGCACAGCAGGTTGAGGCTGCAGTGGCCGGGAGCGGCCACTGCACTCCAGTCTGGGTGACAGAGTGAGACTCCAACTCAAATAAATAAATAAATAAATAAACAGTAATGAATGTTCTCTACAAAAAACTTACAAGTTATGCTCTTTCTATAAAACCTAAATTAAGGAAGTTTTCAGGTATGCTAGGAAGACATCGTCACTTTGAAATCTGACTGATTCTCCATCATGCAGTTAGTTGGTATGTATTTATTGACAAATATTCATCTACTTATCTCTTGACTGATGCCAGCAACACAGTTATTGGCATCCCAGGAGTTTTCTGAGCTGTTTAGAACTAGTGCTGATATTATTAGGTCAACCAAGTAACATCTGAACCCATAATTCCTAAAGACTGCCTTTCTTAATGTTTGAAATTAGCAGCAAGGATTGAAAATAGGTCTAGTAAATCACGATCACAGAGTCTGTTTTTTTTTTTTGGAATTGGAGTCTCATCTGTCACCCAGACTGGAGTGCAGTGGCACGCTCCCAGCCACCTCAGCCTCGATCTGCTGGGCTCCAGCAATCTTTCCACCTTAACCTTCCAAGTAGCCAGAACTACAGGTGCATGATACCACACCCAGCTCATTTTTAAAAATTTATGGTAGAGATGGGGTCTCGCCAAGTTGCCTGGGTGGGTCTTGAACCTGTAGGCTCAGGCAATCCACTTGCCTCGGCCTCGCAAAGTGCTGGGATTACCGGCTGAGCCACCGAGCCCAGCCGAGTCTGGCTTTAATAACTGACAAGGATAAGGAACATTGATAGTTACAATGCTTCTTTGGACCTTTAGAAAAGCTTACTGATCAGTACGTGTTCTAAAAGACATTCTCTATCCCTGTGCACTTAACTGGCTATGGCAGTTCTGCAGATGTTCCTAACAAGAACCTCAGAACTAGCATCTGTAATATATGCTTGTATATAGAACTTGCTGTCTTGGGTATGAAGAGAGAACCATAGTCATTGGCCTAGATATTGAGGATAAAGATAACTGCTTGGTCAAGCTTTTTTTTTTTTTTTTTTTTTTTTTTTTGAGTTGGAGTCTCACTCAGTCACCCAGGCTGGAATGCATTGGCCACTCCCGGCCTCCGCAGCCTCGACCTGCTGGGCTCCGGTGATCCTTCCGCCTCAGCCTTCCAAGTAGCTGGAATTACAGGCATGCGCTACCATGCCCGGCTGATATTTTGATTTATTGTAGAGATGAGGTCTCGCTGCCCAGGCGGGTCTCGAACCCGTGGGCTCAGGCAGTCCACTCACCTCAGCCTCCCAAAGGCGCGGGATTACAGGCTGAGCCACCGAGCCCGGCTTTTTGTCACTTTTCAAACCTGTTGTTTAGCAAACCTGGAAAGCCTAGGTGGTGCTGATCCTGTAGGAAACATGTCTTAGTCTGCTCCGGATGCTATGACAAAATACCATAGACTGGGTGGCAGATAAACAATAGAAGCTTATTTCTCACAGATCTCAGACTGAGAAGTCTCAGATAAAGGCAGTAGCAGATCTGGTGTCTGGTGAGGGCCTGCTTTCTGGCTTATAGAGGGTACTTTCTCACTGTGCCCTCACATGGCAGAAGGGGCAAGACAGTTCTCTGGGACCTCTTTTTTTTTATTTTTACTTCTTTATTATCTAGATGTTTCAGTGATATAGAGACACTTAAAACAAACCAAGCTGGGCTCGGTGACTCAGTCTGTAATCCCGTGCTTTGGGAGGCCGAGGTGAGTAGATTGCCTGACCCTGTGGGTTTAAGACCTGCCTGGGCAACTTGGCGAGACCTCATCTCTACAATAAATCAAAAAAAAAAAAAATTAGCCAGGCATGGTAGCGCGCACCTGTAGTTCCAGCTACTTGGAAGGCTGAGGTTGAAGGATTGCCGGAGCCCAGCAGTTCGAGGCTGCGGTAGCTGCGAGTGGCCACTGTACTCCAGTCCAGGCGACAGAGTGAGACTCCAAATCAAAAAAAAAAAATTAACTGGGCATGGTAGCGCACGCCTGTAGTTCCAGCTACTTGGAAGGCTGAGGCAGAAGGATCGCCGGAGCCCAGCAGGTCGAGGCTGTGGTAGTCGGGAGCGGCCACTGCACTCCAGTCTGGGTGACAGAGTGAGACTCCAATTCAAAACAAAACAAAAAAAACAAACCAGAGGATGATTTTCTTAGACTTTTTATAACAAAGAAATAGGCATAGCTTATGGTAGTCCTGTTTAAAGTGAAGAATTTAAAATGGGGATAGAGTCCCGAAGCCATGTCTTGGCAGGTGCAGCTCTGAAAGACCCTTTGTGTCCTCAGGAATTGTGTTGTTTTCTATGTTGCTGATGAGCCTGTGAGACTATTATGGGGTGGGTTGAGATATCCTGAGAATTTGAATAATCGTTTGTGTCCTGATTTATCTTCTGGGCTTGCCCCCACTTTATGCTTTTCCAAATTACTAGATCTGATCACTGCACACATGTGATCATGCACATGCTCAGATGGGAGGCACAGTCCCTTGGTTCCTAATTTTTCCTGGACAAATTCTGGTTTCTTTTATAAGGGCACTAATCCCATTCATGAGGGTTCTGCCCTCATAACTTAATCACCTCCCAAAGATGCTATCTCCAGTACTGTCATTTGATGATTACATTTTTTTTTTTGAGTTGGAGTCTTACTCTGTCACCCAGACTGGAGTGCAGTGGCACACTCATGGCCACCCCAGAGTCAACCTGCTGGGCTCTGGCGATCCTTCTGCCTCATTCTTCCAAGTAACCGGAACTACAGGCATGTGCTACCACACCCGGCTAATTTTTTGATTTATTGTAGAAATGAGGTCTCGCCACAATGTCCAGGCAGATCTCAAACCCGCGGGCTCAGGCAGTCCACTCGCCTCAACCTCCCAAAGTGCTGGGATTACAGGCTGAGCCACCAAGCCTGGTGGATGATTAAGTTTTAATAGATGAGTTTTTAGGAGGACACATTCAGGCTATAGCAAAGCACTCGTGTGTGTGTGTGTGTGTGTGTGTGTGTGTGTGTGTGTGTGTGTGTGGAGTCTTACTCTGTTGCCCAGGCTGGAGTGCAGTGGGCAATCACTATCATAGCTACTGTAGCCTCCATCTGCTGGGCTCAGGTAATCCTCCCACTTCAGCCTCCCAAGTATCTGGGACTACAGGTATGCACCGCCATGCCAAGCTAATTTATTGATTTATTGTAGATATAAGATCTCGCCATATTGCCCAAGCTAGTCTTAAACTCCTGGACTCAGGCAGTCCTCTTGCCTCAGCCTCTCAAAGGGCTGAGATCACAGGCATGAGCCACTGTACCTGGCAAAGCGCTATTATTTCTTTTCTTTTTCTTTTAAAGATGTGGGGGACAATTCAGGGTTAGGTATATAAATGTTCATTATGCACGTACCCTTGTTGATAAGATGTGTCCCCCCCCACTATTATTTCTTTCTTTTTTTTTTTTTTGAGTTGGAGTCTCACTCTGTCGCCCAGACTAGAGTGCAGTGGCCACTCCCAGCCACCGCAGCCTCGACCTGCCGGGCTCCGGCGATCCTTCCACCTCAGCCTTCGGAGTAGCTGGAACTACAGGCACGCACTACCACACCCAGCTGATTTTTTATTTTAATTGTAGAGATGAGGTCTCGTCAAGTTGCCGAAGCGGGTCTCGAACCCGCGGGCTCAGGCAATCCACTTACCTCAGCCTCCCAAAGCGCGGGATTACAGGCTGAGCCACCGAGCCCAGCTTCCACTATATTTCTAATGTTATGGAAGTTAGAAGAGAAAACTAGTGACTACTGTTTAGTCCCCAAAATGCCATGTGCGAGGCTTGTACTGCTGGGAAGCACAAAAATGAATGAGGCACCTTAAAGGGCAGTGGAGGAATGGGGAGAGACTGTCAAAGAAAACCTTATAGTTTTCAGGGATGAATTTGGAGTTAGGTCCGCAACGGTGGTTGGAAGCTGGGGATTAAAAGTGTCATTCAGTTCATTCAGATAATATTATTTGAGAGCTGACTGTGTGCCAGGCACTCTGCAAAGTGCAGGTAATACAGTAGTGAGTAATCATAATAGCTCATTTTTTATTGAGCACTTCTGTGTGCTAAGCTTTTCTTGAATGAACTATTTCATTCAACTTTACAACAGTCTTTTGAATTACATGCTATTAACATCATCCCTATTTTACTGATGAAGTTAAATAACTTGCCAGGGTTGCACAGGTTTTACGTTGCAGAGGTAGGATTTAAACCCAGTGAGCTGACTGCAGAGCCCCTGTGTTAGAAAGACAACCAGGTTTCTGCTTCATGATGATTATAGTTTTATGGGAGAGTTACCCACCAAATATGGAAACAGGATCATCTCACATCATGAAAAGTACTATGAAGATAAAAACAGATGATGTTATAGAGAGGCAACAGAGGACACTATGTGTGTGCTGCTTCAGATGGCAGATTAGGTGTGTCCTTTCTACAGAGAGGTGACAGGCCTGATGGGTGACAAGAACTCAGCCAATCTTAAGATTTGGGGCTATAGCCTGCCAGGGAGAGAGATTAGCAAGAGCAAAGACACTGAGGTGAGATTGAGTTGGGCTAATGTAAAGAGTGGAAGGAAGGCCAACATGAGCCAGCCTTTGAGTGAGACAGGGTGCATCAGAGAGATGGGCAGGCCAGATACGGTAACTCATGCCTGCAATCCCAGCACTTTGGGAAGCAGAGGCGAGAGAATCCTGAGCCCAGGGGTTCAAGACTAGCTTAGGCAACTTGGCAAGACCTCATCTCTACAATAAATTTTTTAAAAAAACAATTGGCATGGTGGTATGCGCTTGTACTTCCAGCTACTTGGAAGGCTGAGATGGAAGGATCTCCTGAGCCCAGCAGGTTGAAGCTGCAGTAACCATGAGTATGCCACGGCTTGGGCAACAGAGTGAGACTCCAACTCCAAAAAAGGGGGGGGCAGGGGGAGAGAGAGACAAGCAAGGGCCGGATATGTAATTCTGTCGGAAACTGCAGCCAACAGTATCGAAAATTGCAAATGTAGACATTCATAGTTACAGGGACTTTTGTTCTTGTTCATGCTTTGGGGAGCATGGTTTTGAACTGTTTTTTAAAAGTTTTTAAAATATGTAACCTGAATTGTCTGTTCTGTTTGATATCAGGTTCCTGGAAGGTGATGTGAAAGATCACTGTGCCGCAGCAGTCTTAACTTCTGGAACAATCGCCATTTGGGACTTACTTCTTGGTCACTGCACTGCTCTCCTTCCACCTGTCTCTGACCAAAATTGGTCTTTCGTGAAATGGTCAGGTACAGATTCTCATTTGCTGGCTGGACAAAAAGATGGAAATATATTTGTGTACCACTACTCATAAGTTAGGGTCAGGTGAAAACAGTTTTCTGCATATATTTGACCTCTTAGTATTTTTGGACTTGTAAGTGTGAAGAATACCTGAATGACATTTAAAATAATTACCTGTGCACATGCAGACAGACTTGTTTTTTTATTCTGGTGGTGGTGGCACTACTGATCTGGAACATTCATTTATACTTACTTTGCACAAGAGGGTTGTAGGCTGATTTTTGTAATTTCCCACATTTGCACATTTGCTTTTATAAGGTGTACATAAAGCTTAAAATGTCAATAAATATTTATTTTGATACATTCTGCTTGGCATATTTTTTCCCATTCTATTAAGATCACTTTCAGAAACAAAAACTAATTATTACACAACTAGAATATTGAATCAATAATGTTTGCATACAAAGAATAATTTCAGTTAGCTTACTATACTAATACATGATATACTTTTTATGTTATTTGTGATACTTTATTTTCACATATGTGCTAAAGTAGTGTAAAACCTATTAAAACATCCTAATTGAGACATACTCCTATTTTTCATTCTCACATGTATCCTTGGTACCAATGCCTACATCACCACTGGAGTCACTTTTCAGTCAGTGACCCAACTTTATAGAGTACATCATTTTTATTTTTTTGTTTTTTTGAGTCAGAGTCTCACTGTCACCCAGGCTGGAATGTAATGGCATGCTCATGAACACTGCAGCCTTGACCTGCTGGGCTCAGGTGATCCTTCTGCCTCAGCCTTCCAAGTACCCGGAACCACAGGCATACACCACCATACCTGACTAATTTTTTTGATTTACTGTAGTGACAAGGTCTCACCAAGTTACCCAGGTTGGTCTCAAACCCCTGGGCTCAGGCAATCCTCTTACCTCGGCCTCCCAAAGTGCAGGGATTATAGGCATGAGCCACCATGCCCGACCTTAACAGTACATCATCGTGACCTTTGCCTGTGTAATTTGATAGACAGAAATTGTTAAACTACTAATTGGGTGTTACTATTAGAAATTTTCTCCTAAACTATAAGTTTTTATTTGCCTAACATTCTTAGAGTATATTTTTTTAGTTTATTTATCTTTTTGCCTACTGCTGCTGCTTCTGAAGAAGTGCATATTTTTTAAAGACACTTTTTTTTTCTTTGAGTTGGAGTCTCAACTCTGTCACCCACACTGGAGTGCAGTGGCCACTCCTGGCCACTGCAGCCTCGACCTGCTGGGATCCAGAGATCCTTCCGCCTCAGCCTTCCAAGTAGCTGGAACTACAGGCACGCGCTATCACGCCCGGCTAATTTTTGATTTATTGTAGAGATGTGGTCTCGCCAAGTTGCCCAGGCGGGTCTCAAGCTCATGGGCTCAGGCAATTCACTCACCTCTGCCTAAAGACACATTTTTATATTTACTATAGTTGTTTTTGTCCCTTTACAACTTCTGTACCCACTATTCTGAACCCTAGGTGAAGGATACTTTATTTGCTAGTACATCATAGACAATAGAGGACTTTTCATAAAGATTTAATTTACCCAAGAACCCTGAGAAACATACATTATCTTGATTTAAAAGTTAAGAAAACTGAGGACAGGCATGATGGCTCACACCTATAATCACAGCATTTTGGGAGGCTGAGGCAGGAAGCCTGCTTGAGCTCAGGTGTTCAAAACTATCCTAGACAAAATAGCAAGACCTCATCTCTACAAAAAATGTTTTAAATTAGCCAGGCATGGTGGCATGCACCTGTAGTCCCTGCTACTCAGAAGGCTGAGGCAGGAGGATCTCCTGAACCAAGGAGGTCAATCTTGCCACTGTATTCCAGCCTCGACAACAGAGTGAGACCCCAACTCAAAAAAAAAAAGAGTGATTACGTAGTGAGGAATTAAAGAAAAGTTGTAGACAGTGTTGTCATTATGGTTTATAAAAAGCCCCAGTGCCTTCCTTTTCTGATGAAAATATTGGCCAGGCTCGGTTACTCAGCCTGTAATCGCAGCACTTTGGGAGGCCGAGGAGAGTGAATTGCCTGAGCCCACAGGTTTGAGATGAGCCCAGGCAACTTGACGAGACCTTGTCTCTACAATAGATAAAAAAATTAGCCGGCATGGTAGCATGTGCCTGTAGTTCTGGCTACTTGGAAGGTTGAGGTGAAAGCCCAGCAGGTTGATGCTGGAGTGGCAGTGAGTGTGCCACAGAATTCCAGCCTGGGTGATAGAGTGAGACTCTGACTCAAAAAAGGAAAAAAAAAGGAAAATCTTTCATGTATGTGCCACGGCACTCCAGCCTGGGTGACAGAGTGAGATTCCGACCAAAAAAAAAAAAAGAGGAAAATCTTTCACGTACACATATCACATTACCCAATGTGAGCACAGGATGGTCTCATTCTAATCCTGGAATTCACAGTGGTCAACAGAACACTCTGGGTTCAGAATCCCTGGGCACACATCTCAGATCTATCACGCACCAACTGTGTACCTTAGAACAGATGTCTGAACCTTTCTAAGCCTCAGTGTCATCTGTAAAGTGAGGATGATAGCAGCACATCCTAGGGTTATGAGGAGTAAACAGGATCACTGTGCAAAGCACTTGGCACAGTGCACATAGTCGGCCTTAGTCAACAAGAGCCATTGTTACAGTGGAACCCAGACTGACTGGCCCGAGTCTTCTCAGAGGCAGCTCACAGCTCAGGCTGCCTGGTACACAGTGGATGGCGATGAATGTTTGTTGAATGAGGAGATACGAACCCAGAGAGGATTAAGAGCATTCAGCTCGTTTACTCATTCACAATTCACTGGGTTCATAGTATGTACTAGATGGCTGAGAACCAAGTAAGAATTAGACACCGTTCTGCCCTCAGGTTGCTTGCAACCTGGGCTGGAAGTCCAAACACACAAGCCCATAGGAGATTTCACTGAAGGATCCAAACTGCCAGCTGCCCAAGTTCTGGAGACACCCGTCCACTCGCGCATGGCAACCAGCACCTGGAGCTGGCTTCCCTTGTCCCCAGTCTCAACTTTGCTTGGCCTGGAGGCCCTGGGGTTGCAACTCTAGTCTAGAGGGAGAGGCAGCTGGGTAAACATGCAGTAAATGAGATGGTGCAGGAACCACGAGGGAGGAACACCTCACTCAGGCTGGCGGAGAGGAGGGAAGAGACGACAGGTTGTGTTTCCACAGGTTCCCTGGGAGGTGCTATTATCGTCAGATGGCACTGAGGCTTAAAAAGATCCTCAGTTTGGCCAGATGCAGTGGCTCATGCCTATAATACCAGCACTTTGGGAGGCCGAGGTGAGAGGATTGCCTGAGCCCACGGGTTTGAGACCAGCCCAGGCAACTTGGCGAAACCTCATCTCTACAATAAATCAAAAAATTAGCCGGGCATGGTGGGATGTGCCTGCAGTTGCAGCTACTTGGAAGGCTGAAGTGGAAGGATCACCTGAGCCCAGCAGGTTGAGGCTGTGGTGGCCATGCGCGTGCTGCTGCACTCCAGTCTGGGTGACATAGTGTGAGATTCCAACTCAAAAAAAAAAAAAGTATTGAACCATCTTCAAACTCTCAGCACAAATGAATGTAGGTATACACAGAAGGAAGCTGGTTGCCTGTAAGAAGGCTGGGGCATGGGGCGGAACAAAGCCAATCACACCCCCACTCCCCACTCTGTCCCCCTCCTGGAGACCTGGGCCACCTCCCCGAACTGAGGAATCTGGGAAAAGCAGTTGGAAACAATGGTTCTGTCACTTGGCATTCTATGAGTCCCAGCCCAGACTCAACCACAAGAGTTCAGGCCCAGGCAGGTACCATGAACAGGTGATGACATAGACCAGATAGGCCTGGAAAGTACACAAACACGCTTGGTTTACATATAAAACCCTTAATTATTATTTCTTTCCATTGAGATCTACACGCTTTCCCATTTGTCATGAAATAGGTGGCCCTCTGATTCTACCTTTATTTTTCAGCATTTGATAGAGATGTGAACACCAAGAAACAGTTCACTTTCGCCCTTGCTTTGTAGAAGAACTGTTTTAGTCCAAGGCTCTGAAAACAGGGGCTTGTTATAAATTGTGTTTTAAAACAATTTAAAGCTTTTTTTTCCCTTTACATGTTGTAACATCTCCTCCTTCCCAATATTGCAATTGTATGCCCCTTCCTCTGGGGAACTGTAAAGAGCATATAAAGAGCATGTTATAATTTCCAGAATGTTATCTAAAATGTCAGCATAACTGGGAGATTTTGAGTCACGTCAGTGGCCATTTACCAAAAATGTTAACATAGATCCTGAATCATGCTGAAACTGCACATAGACTTCTTAATCTTAACTTGGGGTGAGTGACAGGCTATGAATTTGGATGGAAATACTGGAGTAAGTTTGCGTTGCTTTGATGGGGTTTTTGACAATGATGCCGACCCATCTCCCTGTAACCTGGCTGCAGAAATTAAACACTCCCTTTTTCCCCAATTTCTGCCTCTTGTCTTTGATTGACAGCAAGGGAAAGCAGTCGGAATAGTTTAGCTGAGAACAGAACACAGGTGGTGCAAGGATGATGACAGTAGCTGCCATCAGCCTCAGGATAGGGAGGCAACTTGGAGCAGTGGGGCTGCCTCTCTGGTTGGCCTCACAATGCTGTGGCCTCAACAACTAGCCCATAATAGACAACACAACTTGCTTACAGAATGCATAAATAAAAATTTTACCATAGTGGGGGTCATATTATGCATTTTATTTACTTATTTATTATTATTTTTTGAGTCGGGGTCTAGAGTGCAGTGGCATAATCATGGCTCACCACAGCCTCCACCTGATGGGCTCAAGCGAGCTTCCTATGACTACAGACGCATGCCAGCACACCCAGCAATTTTTTTTTTCCTTCAGACAAGGTCTCGCTACATTGCTCAGGCTGGTTTCGAACTCCTGGGCTTCAGGAATTCCTGCCTCAGCCTCCCAAAGTGCTGGGATCAAAGGTGTGAGCCTAGCCGGGCGTGGTAGTGTGCGCCTGTTGTTCCGGCTACTGGAAAGGCTGAGGTGGAAGGATCCCCGCAGCCCAGCAGGTGGAGGCTGCGGTAGCTGGGAGCGGCCACTGCACTCCAGTCTGGGCGACAGAGTGAGACTCCAACTCAAAACAAAAAACAAACAAAAAAAAAACCACCACCACCACCACCACAACAAAACAAAGGTGTGAGCCATCGCACCTGATTCTTATTTTTTCACATTCTTTACTTTTTTTTAAGTGAGAATCTCTCACTCTGTCATCCAGGCTGGAGTGCAGTGGCACACTCAAGTTCACTGCAGCCTCGGCCTGCTGGGCTCAGGTGATCCTTCCCTCTCAGCCTTCCAAGTGGCTGGAACCACAAGCGCAGCCACCACCCCGGCTAGTTTATTTTTTTTTTTTTATTGTAGAGATGAAGTCTCGCCATATTGCCCAGGCTGGTCTTGAACCCCTTGGGCTCAGGCAATCCTCTCGCCTCAGCCTCCCAAAGTGCTGGGATTACAGTCGTGAGCCACCGCTCCCGGCTTTTCACATTCTTATTTTTCGAGTCAGTGTCTCTGTCGCTAAGGTTGTGGAGTGCAAGTGGCACCCTCACGGCCACTGCAGCCTCGACCTGCTGGGCTAAGGTGATCCTTCCGCCTCAGCCTTCCAAGTATCTGGAACTACAGGCGCGTGCTATCACGCCCAGATGATTCTTTTTTTTTTTTAATTGTAGAGACGAGATCTCGCCAACCTGCCTAGGCTGGTCTCGAACCCGTGCGCTCAGGCAATCCTTTTGCCTCAGTCTCCCAAAATGCTGGGATTACGGGAGTGATCCACCAAGCCCGGCCCACAGTCTTATTTTATACTGAGTTTTTAAACTATTAAATGTTAATATGAATGGAAGAATCGCGGTGTCAAAACTTTTAAATAAAGGTGTTTCAGAACTTTCAGAGCGGCATCTGCACAGTTTTAGCTCTGGCACGAAGTCGCCATTCTCCTCGGAACCTGGAAGGCTGGACAGTGCGGCTCCGAGGGCGCAGTGCCTCCGGGAGCCGCCAGGGCCCGCCACCGCTGGCAACTTTCGCCGGCGCCGCTCTGTGCGACGCCTGAGCGCGGCAAAGGAGCCCGGAGCGGGAGGTCGCGGCGCAATGCATTCTGGGTCGGCGTAGCCATGGCGGCTCGTGTCCTTTCCTCCTGTGTCCGCCGCTTGCCCTCGGCCTTGGTGCCGGTGTCCCGGGTTCCCACGCTGGCCGCAGTCCGGCCTCTCAGCACTGCTTTGTTCCCCACGGGGACCCGAACGAGGCCCGGGCCTTCGCAGCCGGCCCTCGTGCTCGCGCAAGTGAGTCTCAGTGACTTTGTTGGGGTTTGGCAGGGGTCAGGGATCGGGCCCGCTCGGGGTGGGGTGCAGGGCGGGCAAGCCGGGCTGCGCCACCTGCAGACGGCGGTGACCTGTGGGGCTCTGACTCGCTTCCCGGCCCCGCTGCCTGATGGTGTTGGGTTGACCCCTGCAGGGAGGCCGGGTGACATAGTGATAATACGTGCAAGAGCGTGGACTCTCGAGTCAAACACCCCTGGGTTCTAATGCCGGCTGCACTTACCCCAACTTTGGACACGTATCCTAACCTTGGAATACTAGTCTCTACCCTGTGGAGTGGCAATGAGGAATAGATGAGATAACGCGGCGAGAGCCCTTAGTGCGCTGCTTGGGAAGCTCTCAAAATAGTGGTCGCCGTTAGTTGCAGTGCTAATGCTAACGGTGTAAAGAAGATGCCACGCTGGCCTACAGTCTTCTCCAGAGCAGTCCTCTCCATGGAAGTCTGTCCTAATTTTCCCTTGTGGCACCTTTTGCCTGTGTCCACGCCTCCTGGAAGCAAGACTAGGAAACGAGAACAGGTGACCCTTGAACAACGCGGGTTTGAACTGCGCGGGTCCACTTATATCTGGATTTCTTCTTCTTTTTTTTTAACCAAACGCGGACAGTATTTACGGGATGGGAAGCCCGGCGGATAAGGATGGCCGCCAATTCTTGGTATAGGCGGGTTGCGCAAGACTGACTGCGGGACTTGAGTACACGCGGATTTGAGTGTACACCGGGGTCCTGGAATCTATCTCCCGCGCAAGTACCGAAGAACGACTGTAGTTTTAGTATGTAGCTTTCTTACCTGATGAAACGTGTGTGAGACTGAAACTCCATGAGGCAATGATTTTCAATCCTAGCTGCACATTCAAATCACCTGGGTAAAAAAAAAATCACTTGCTCCCTTCTCCCTCTTGATTTATTCCTCGAGGATGAAGCCCTGGCAAGGCTTTTTTTTTTTTTTTTTTTTTGTTAAGTTTCCCAGGTGACTCTGAAGTGCAACCAAGATTAAAAACTGTCTTAGGGTAGGATAGATTCCTAAGTTGAAGTTATGAAACCCCTTTGCAACCTTGGGCTTCATGTAATAGTAGTGTCAACCTTGATTGCATGTTAGCATTAAAAATTGGAGTGCAAGCCGGGCACAGTGGCTCACGCCTACAATAATCCCAGCACTTTGGGAGGCCGAAGCAGAGGATTGCCTGAGTGCAGGGGTTCCAAGACCAGCTGGGCAACTTGACAAGACCTCGTCTCTACAATAAATTCAGAAAATTAGGCCGGGCTCGGTGGCTCAGCCTGTAATCCCGTGCTTTGGGAGGCCAAAATGAGTGAATTGCCTGAGCCTGCAGGTTCGAGACCCGCCTGGGCAACTTGGCGAGACCTCATCTCTACAATAAATCAAAAAATTAGCCAGGCGTGGTAGTGTGCACCTGTAGTTCCAGCTACTTGGAAGGCTGAGCGGAAGGATCGCCGGCGCCCAGCAGGTCGAGGCTGCGGTGGCCAGGAGCATGCCACTGCACTCAAGTCTGGGCAACAGAGTGAGACTCCAACTCAGGAAAAAAAAAAAAAAAAATGACAAGCACCATGACAGAGGTACTTGTGGACTGCTTCAGTAACAAAAATTGTCATTTAGTCCCTGAGAGTCCAGGAAAGAGGATGCCAGACTTGGAGTTAGCCAGGAAAAGAGTGGGGACAGATTATTCAAGGAGAGAGAAGACCAGGTCATCCTCTCAATAAATCCTGCTTTAAAAAAAAAAAAAAAAGGCATCAGGTGAAATTGCTGAGTGTTTGGTTCCTGAGATTGATTTCAGCATTAGGCTAAAATGTGGAGTGATTCTTCTGTTCCTATAGCACTGATTCTCAAACTTGGTTGGGCATACAGATTACCTGTGTTAAAACACAGATTCTGATTCGGTAAGTCTGGGAAGAGGCCTGAGAGTTTTCGTTTCCAGTGGGCTCACAAAAGATGCAGCTGCAAGAGGTCCTTGGATCTTGCTTTGAATAGCAGAGTGCTTGAAGATGTTCCACTCCCTCTGCTTGATTTACCCATACAGCAGAGGAACCATTTGATTTATACTTACGAAGTGGTTTTGACTAAGTTCATTCAAAAATATCGAGGGATGGCTGTGTGCCAGGCCTTATGCTACCTGTTGAGGGTTGCAGGGATGGGTACACGAGAATGACATTAGCTCCTGTCTTCATTGGGTTATGTTACATTTGCCAGCTCCTTCTCTGCTGCTCCTTCTTCCCCAGACTGTTCTGACACTCTTCTCCCTTGGTTCTTCTCCCATCTCTCTGCTGCTGCTTTGTTGGGCACTTACTCTATCCAACCCGCAAATATTAGTATGCTCCAGAGTTCTCTGACCACATACTGTGCCTGGATTATCTCCTCACTCTTGGTTTCTGTTGTTGCCTGTATACAGATGTCCACCTCTAGCCCCTCTTCATTTCATCTGGTCATTCCACCCATTTCCTGCTGTTAAATTTCGCCTCCTCAAATCCATCCACCACACTGGCCCCAGAGCACGTTGTTATTCATTTATACCTTCTCCCCCCCTCCACCCCAAAAAGGAGCTAAGGCAGCTTTCCTGGGTATAAAAATATCAGATGATATCAAATCAAAGGTAAGGAAAAAGAAAAATAAGGGTAGTAGCTTATTTTTTTATTTATTTAGAGACAGGTCTCACCAAGTTGCCCAGGCTGGTCTTGAACCCCTGGACTCGAGGCAGTCCTCTTGCCTCTGCCTCCCAAAGGGTTGGGATTATAGGCTTGAGCCACCGTGCCCAGTCTTCTATTTTTTTTTTTTAATCTAAATTTTTATATTTTAGATGCAGGGGGTACAAGTGCATGTTTGTTACATGGGCATATTCCATACTGGTGGGGATTGGGTTTCTAGTGTCTCCATTCCCCAAATAGTGAACATTGGACCCTCCCCCTTCCTACCTCCCCCATCTTGGTGTCCCCAGTGTCTTTTTCTTTTTAATTTAAAAATAGAGATGAGGTCTTGCTATGTTGCCCAGGCTGGTCTCAAACTCCTGGCCTTAAGCAATCCTTCTGCCTTGGCCTCCCAAAGTGCTGGGATTACAGGCGTCAGCCTCTGCATCTAGCCCCCAGTGTCTGTTACTTCCATCTTTATGTCCATAAGTACCCATTGTTTAGCTCTCACATATAAGTGAGAACATGCAGTGTTTGGTTTTCTGTTTGACTTAGTCTGCTTATTCCAGCTTCATCCATGTTGCTGCAGAGGACATGACCTCATTCTTTTTTATGTTTTTGTAATGTTCTTTATCTAGTCAATTGTTGGTGGGCTCACTACATTTTTTTTTTTTTGAGTTGGAGTCTCATTCTGTCGCCCCCAGGCTAGAGTGCAGTGGCACACTCATGGCCACCCCAGCATCGACCTGCTGGACTCAGGCTGTCTTTCTGCCTCAGCCTTCCAAGTAGCTGGAACTACAGGTGTGGGCTACCACGACTGGCAAATTTTTAAATTTATTGTAGAGATGAGGTCTCACTAAGTTGCCCAGGCTATTCTCAAACCCGTGGGCTCAGGCGATCCTCTCACCTCAGCCTCCCAAAGTGCAGGGATTACAGTCTTGAGCCACTGTGCCCAGCCCCATGTATGTATTCTGATGGAAATGAATCAGTTTGAGTAAGTAAACAAGAAAGTAGTCAGTCTTTTCCTGCAAACAGTGCCTTCTCTGGTGTCTAGGGGAGCGATGTAAGGCACGTATTAAGTGGCAGTCTTGAAGAACAGTTAACACCAGAAACAACCATGTTGGCTGTTGGGGAGGTGCTTGTCCATTCCGTATCCTTTTTTCCGAAATGGCTGAAATCCAGCAAGAAGGAGCAGGAAGGTCCTCCAAGAGGCCTTGCTGGGGGCCCCGGGGGAGTGGAGGGGGAGACCTAACCTTTCTCTGCCTCAGTTTCCTCATCTGTAAAAGAGGGAGTGATAATAGCAAATTGCAAGGCTGGGTATGGTGGCTCACGCTTACAAGCTGAGGTGAGAGGATTGCCGGAGCCTATGGGTTTGAGACCAGCCCGGGCAACTTGGCAAGACCTCATCTCTACAGTAAACCAAAAAATTAGCTGGTCGTGGTGGCATGTGCCTGTAGTTCCAGCTACTTGGAAGGCTGAGGTGGTCGGATCACCTGAGCCCAGCAAGTCGAGGCTGCGGTGGCCATGAGCATGCCACTGCACTCCAGCCTGGGTGACAGAGTTAGAGACTCCAACTCAAAAAAAAAAAAAAAAAAAAAAATTGCTGGGAGAGCTAAAGGAGATGTTTGTGTAAAATACTCATAGCAGTACCACAGCCTGACTTAATAAGAAATCAATAAAGAGACCAGAAGAGGGACATGAGAGGGAAAGAAGGGGATGGAGTATTTTGGGGGTGCATACAGCCAAGGTGTCACACTAGCTAGCAGGGGCAGGTCACTGTTCTCCCCATCCTGCAAGATAACTCTAAATAGCACTTGTTGTGTATGTGCCAGCCATTGTTCTAAGCCCTTCATCTCACTGATGCCTCACAACAGTCCTGTGACCATGGTGCTGTTAATCCCCATGGCACAGATAAGGAAACTACAGCATAGAAGGGTGACTTGCCCACGGCCAAACAGCTAGTAAAAACCCGTACTAGGTGCTAATGGAGGCAGTCTAGTTTGAGTCTGAGCTCTTGCCCACTTACTTACTGTTTCATGCTGACCCCACTGCAGCTCCCCACTTGAGATTGACATTTGGCCTCCAAGTGGAGACCCCTTTGATTTGACTTCATCATATAGTGCCCACCTGGCCCTTGTAGGTACTTGCCATTGCTGCCGGGGACAATGCTGACACCTGGTGGGCTACATGGGTAGCTGTGTATGAATATATCTCACCAGCCCCTTTTCCCCTGGGTCCTCTGCACACATGGTAGGTGAGGGGGGTGGCTTTTCTGTGAATCCTGTGAATTTGTACCTTTTCTCTCTCTCTCTCTCTTTTTTTTTTTGGAGACAAGTTCTCACTCTGTTGCCAAGGCTAAAGTGCATTGGCACCATCATGGCTCACTGCAGCCTTGATCTTATGGGCTCAAGCCATCCCTGAGTAGCTGGGACTATAAGCACGTGCCACCATGCTCGACTAATTTATTTATTTTTGTAAAAATAGGGTCTTGCTGTGTTGCCAGGCAGTCTCGAACGCCTGGACCTCAAGCAGTCCTCCTGCCTCAGCTTCCCAAAGTGTGGGATTATAGGTATGAGCCATCATGCCCAGCCCATTTCTTTTTTCTTTTTATTTTTTTATAATTCTTTTCACATTTTTATTTTTATTTTTTTAGTTGGAGTCTCACTCTGTTGCCCAGGCTCCTGGAGTGTGGTGGCATGCTCTCGGCCACCACAGCTTCGACCTGCTGGGCTCAGGCGATCCTTCCGCCTCAGCCTTCCAAGTAGCTGGAACTACAGGCACGCGCCACCACGCCCGGCTAATTTTTGATTTATTGTAGAGATGAGGTCTTACCAAGTTACCCAGGCTAGAGTACAGTGGCACACTCATGGCCACCGCAGCCTCAACCTGCTGGGCTCAGGCAATCCTTCCGCCTCAGCATTCCAAGTAGCTGGAACTACAGGCACATGCCACCGCACCCAGCTAATTTTTGATTTATTGTAGAGATGAGATCTTACCAAGTTGCCCAGGCTAGTCTTGAACCCACTGACTCAGGCAGTCCTCTCACCTTGGCCCCCAAAGTGCTGGGATTACAGGCTGAGCCACTGTGCCCAGCCAGCTCATTTCTTGATATGCACACAGATGGTGTCTGTTAGATCCTTCCACTTAAACTTTTTTCTGCCATTATCACTATTGCCTCATTTCTTCTGCCTTCTCTTTACACCTTTCTGCTTCATTTTATGTGTAACTTGGAACCCTCTCTGAGTCATTGTTGTTAAGTAGGCCTGGTGATGTGCCTATATCAAAGGCCTTAACCAGTGTGTAATGGTACATTGAGACAAAAGTACTGTAAAACTTTTTTTTTTTTTTTTGAGTCAGAGTCACTGTCAAGGCTTGACATCCTGGATTTAGGCAATCCTTCCATCTCAGTATCTGGTGTAGCTGGGACTACAGGCGCACACCACCATGCCTAGCTAATTTTTATTTTTATTTTTTTTTGTAGAGAAGAGGTTTTGCTATGTTGCTAGGCAGGTCTTGAACTCCTGGGCTTAAGCATTCCACCCGTCTTGGCCTCCCAAAGTGCTGGGATTACAGGCATGAGCTACCCCATCCGGCCTTAAAGTCAGCTTTAGAAGGTAAACAAACCAATTTAGATGAGGGACTTCCCATAGTGAGCAAAACTGCCACAGTGTTTTTTCTTGTGTTCAGCATTGTACCTTCCATGGCATTAAACCCCCGACCTATGAGTTGGAGCTCATTCCACATTTGGAAAATGAAATTGGTCAATAACCTAATACCTAGTTAATATCAAGCACAAATATCAGAGATACTTGTGATATTGCTCTATCATGGCAAAGGTCAGAAAGGCTCATGGTTTGGCTGTTGGCAATGCAGCCAGCCTAGCCAGAAGGGAAACAGACTGGAATGACTGTCAGGCTCCCTCATCCCCCTCTTTGGGTTGGTGGCCGGCTTCGTTTGTCCTGGCTGAGGTCAGTGTCATTACTGCTGGTGCCAAATTAAACCCTGCTGGTATATGGTCTTCAATGTGAGTTGCTTTTCAGTTTACCTTGACAGCTCTTTCCATGTGGGTTATTTTGATTGAGGGCTGCCTGTTTAAGCTGGCAGGACCTTGTAGATTGGGATCCTGAAGATGCCGTGAGAAGATAGGCATTTCTGCAGAACCTAGACAGTTTTAGTGGTGGTTAGTCTAACTAAGCAGGATGAATGGCCAGAGCCTGGAGGGCTGAACCCAGGAGTAAGAGGGGCCAGTCCTGATGTTGCTGAACTGCCAGGGCTTCTGAGGCTATCCAGTACTGTGGTGTGGTGTGTCCTAATGGCCACAATTAGAATCAGATGATATGGGTTCTCTACAGTCCTAAAAGCTTTGTAAAAGATATCTATAGGTGTGTGCATTGATTTAGAGACATTTTGTCTTCGTCAACAGTTTTTCCTTCCGCCCTCGCTCTAGGTTCCAGGTCGAGTTACACAGCTGTGCCGCCAGTATAGCGACGCACCTCCTCTGACTTTAGAGGGCATCAAGGACCGTGTTCTTTACGTCTTGAAACTCTATGACAAGATTGACCCTGAGAAGGTAACTGATGGTGGTTTAAATTTTTTTCTTTAGATTTAGAGTATTTAATCACATGGTATGAAATGCAAAGGGAAATAAATATCTCACTGGCTTCCAGCTACCCGTTTCTACTTCTGGGAGACAGCCAGTATTACCAGCTTGCCTGTCTTTCCAGAGATACTCAATGCATATGTAGGAAGTAGACACACACATATGTGTAGTATATAGATTTATGAATATCTCCAACCCTTTTTAAAAAGCACAAGTGGTGGTAGTATACTGTAAACACATAGTGGTAAATTTAAAGATTCCTTCTTTAATAATTGAATCTGTGGTGTGGGTAAGATTGTTTTTGATATGGGTTTTTTGAAGAATTCTTCCTGGTGGTCTTGAGATCTGTATTAAAGGCAGGTGATAGTAAACACTCTGGAATCTGAAGCTGCCTACAGTTGATAACATACCATCTGCTTTTCTTGAGGGAGAGGAATGTCACTTCCAAGGGGTGGCGTCTTAGTTGTCAATGAGGCAGTAAGAAGAACCAAATTCCCTCAGATGTCATAGATCCTAGTAAAATATGTAGCACAAAGTCCTTCATTCACTTGGAATATATTGTTAACCACTTCAAAAAGAAGTTGACTAAGATAAAACACACCATGTACATGCCAGCATAGCTTAAGTACATAATGGTAGTTGTGGCCTCTTATATTTAAAAAAAAGTATATAATAATTAAGTGGCATTGTACCATTCTGTTTTCTTGGGAAGCAAATGCTTTTCACAAACTGAATTTTGTGTTTGGTGTTCCTTTCTTACAGCTCTCAGTAAATTCTCATTTTATGAAAGACTTGGGCCTAGACAGTTTGGACCAAGTGGAGATTATCATGGCCATGGAAGACGAATTTGGTAACACTCACGGGCTCAGTCTTGTATCTGCATATTGTGATACTTGATTTAGGTGGATTAAACGGAAAGAAATGCTGGGAGTCTGAATTGCAATTGGAATCAAATACTGATAGAAACAGTAGCATCCACCCCTTCCCCCACCTCCCTGCCACTTACCATCAGGTGAAATAATTAGGGACAGTACATTTATTCAGAAAGCAGTTAGGGCAGCCCTGATTGTGACTAGAGTATGTGCTACTGAGAACTGAATGACTAGAAAAGATTCGGGAAGTATTGGACAGATTCTTAAGATGGAGTTCCAAGATGAAGGTCAAAAGCCTCACCTGTAGAGATGCTGATGACATGTTAGCCTGCCTCATGAGCTAGGGTAACATGAGCTAGGTGGAAGTAATTGGGTGTGCTGAGGATAAGACACACACATGGCCCAGCTCGGTGGCTCAGCCTGTAATCCCAGCACTTTGGGAGGCTGAGGCAAGTGGATTGCCTGAGCCTGCGGGTTCAAGACCTGCCCGGGCAACTTGGCGAGACCTTGTCTCTATAATAATTCAAAAATTAGGTGGGTGTGGTAGCATGCGCTTATAGTTCTGGCTACTTGGAAGGCTGAGGCAGAAGGATTGCTGGAGCCCAGCAGGTCAAGGCTATGGTGGCCGGGAGCAAGCTACTGTACTCTAGTCTGGGTGTCAGAAAAAAAAAAAAAAAAGACACACACACAGTGCTCGCTACCCTCTTGCCTTGCTCTCTTATATACTCCAAATTGTCTGTTTGGAACTGTTTGTCGTGCAAATGAGATCTTTATAGGGCTCCATTTCTGGGTGAATTGCTTGAATGGAAAGGCAAGGGACTTCTGTGCCATCTTACAGAGCAGGACTTGTGAAAACTCCTCACAGGCTAGGCGGGGTGGCTCACACCTGTAATTCCAGCACTTTGGGAGGTGGAGGTGAAAGGATTGCCTAAGCCCATGGATACAGCCTGGGCAACTTGGCAAGATCTCGTCTCTACAATAAATCAACAAATTAGCTGGGCATGGTGGTACATTCCAGTGGAAATCTGAGGCAGAAAGATCACCTGAGCCCAGCAGGTTGAGGCTGCAGTGGCTATGAGCATGCCACTGCATGCACTCCAGCCTGGGCGACAGAGTGAGACTCCCACTCAAAAAAAAAAAAAAAACTCCCTCACAGATTATGCTATTCTCTGCCTAGTGGTTAAGAGTAGCAGGTGTGTTTGTGACCCGCCTGGGCAACTTGGCGAGACCTCATCTCTACAATAAACCAAAAAATTAGCCAGGCGTGGTAGCGCGTGCCTGTAGTTCCAGCTACTTGGAAGGCTGAGGCGAATGGATCGCCAGAGCCCAGCAGGTCGAGGCTGTGGTGGCTGGGAGCAGCCACTGCACTCCAGTCTGGGTGACAGAGTGAGACTCCAACTCAAAAACAAACAAAAAAAGAGTAGCAGGTCTGGAATTAGGCTTAGCCATATATGAACCTGGAAACAAACTATATCTCCTAAACCTGTTTCTTGAGCTGTAAGGAGGATTGGGATTGCTGTGACAATTAGAGATTATGTTTAAAATGCTCAGTATAGTTTTTGGCCCACAGTAAGCACTCAATAAACGTTAACTATTGAAACCCAACCATTCATAAAAAAGTGAAATATGATACATGTTATAACATGGGTGAACCTTGAGAATGTGCTAAATGAAAGAAGGCAGACACAAAAGGCCACATCTTTTATGATTCTTTTGATATGAAATGTCAAGAAGAGGCAAATCCATAGAGATAAAAAGTAGATTAGTAGTTATGGGGTAGGGCTGATGGGGTGTAACTGCCAGTGGGTACTGAGTTTCTTTAGGGGTGATGAAATATTTTAGAGTTAGATAATAGTGATGGTTGTACAACTTTGTGACTATATTAAAAACCATTTAATTATGTACTTTAAAAGGAAGAATTTTCTATGTGTGAATTCTATCTTAAAAACAAAACACGGGTTTGAGACCAGCCTGGGCAAGGTGGCAAACCTCATCTCTACAATAAATAAAAAATTAGCTGGGTGTGGTGGCTTGTGCCTGTAGTTCCAGCTACTTGGAAGGCTGAGGAGGATCACCTGAGCCTAGCAGGTTGAGGCTGTGGTGGCCATGAGCATGCCACTGCACTCCAGCCTGGGCAACGGAGTGAGACTCCAACTAAAAACAAAAAACCAAACCATTTTATCTAACTTGATACATGAGGGAGGACCCCAAAAAAACCCCGAATTATCTTTTGAAGGGCAGGCCCCTTGGAGTACAGGCTTCCTCTGCTAGGTAAGTGTTCTAGGAACCCATTGGCATCAGTGTACCAGCTAGCATTGTTGTGAGAGGCTGTGTTTGGCTTCATTGAAATTTTTGTGGAGATTCTTTCAACGCATTTGCCCATTTTCATGATGGGTGATTTACAAGCACACCTGCCCACACTATGCTGTGTGTTCAGCAGTTTTTGACCAAAAAAAAGGCATGACCCCTGCACCAAACTCCCTGTTCACCCAGTCTTGCATTGAGCAACTTTTTTTGGTTTCCCCAGTTGGAAAAAGTTCTCAAAGGGAAACGTTTTGCCGATGTTGAAAGAGATGAAACAGTTTTGGCAGAAGCACTAAAAGGCCTCAAAATTGATGAGTTCAAAAACTGTTTTGAGCTGGGCTTGGTGGCTCAGCCTGTAGTCCCACGCTTTGGGAGGCTGAGGTGAGTGGATTGCCTGAGCCCATGGATTCGAGATGCGCCTGGGCAACTTGGTGAGACCTCATCTCTACAATAAATCAAAAATTAACCAGGCGTGGTAGCGCACGCCTGTAGTTCCAGCTACTTGGAAGGCTGAGGCGGAAGGATCACTGGAGCCCAGTAGGTCGAGGCTGCGGTGGCCGGGAGTGGCCATTGCACTCCAGTCTGGGCAACAGAGTGAGACTCCAACTCAAAAACAACAACAAAAAAAACTTTTGAGCACTAGGAAAAACATCTCAGTGGGTTTATTGCATCAGACAGAGTACTTTGAAGGTGACTGAAGTTTAAACATGTAAGAATAAGTACACATTTTTATAAATAAATTCCAGGGGTTTTTTTGGGTCCCTTCTTGTACATATTGTTTAGGACCTAACTAGCTCACAGCCTAAATGGGATTCAAGATTGCTGGAAATTTTTTATATACCCTTAAGTGTTACCGAAAGATCAAGTACTTTCAGTTCTAAAGGAATTTTTATGCACTTAAACATTGTTGTCCATTTTTCTTTTAGGGTTTGAAATTCCTGATATAGATGCAGAGAAGTTAATGTGTCCACAAGAAATTGTAGATTACATTGCAGATAAGAAGGATGTGTATGAATAAAATATCAGGTAAATAATTCGACTTATAAAATGAGGTTCTCCCATAGAATTAATCTGTTATTCTATAATAAAGGAAACTCAAGAGAAAAATGGAAATGCTTGACAGTTGACAGATTTTCCCTAATTATAAAATGTAAACCCTTTTCAGTTATCTGCCATCCAAAGGGGCCCAACTCTGCTGGTGATCTTTATCCTCAAGAGGGGTTGAGGGCAGTATTCCAAGACAGGATGCCTTTGATTGTCAGTCTTCCTCATAAAAGCAGAGTCCTGTACAAAGTGTTGAGCAGGATAACGCAGAAACAGACCTTCGTCTTCCTCAGTTACCCATCTAAGGCAAGCCTAGCCTGCTGTGCAGGAGGCTGAGCTACCTGGCTCTTAATTAGGGAAAAGATGCCTCATGGTAATAGGATGGCTGTTGGAGCCACAGATATCTAAGTGGATTCTCAGCTCCGCCATACCTCCGCCCAGGCAGGCTGCCTGCCTCTGTTTCTTCACATGTAAAATGGGGCTTTTGTGAAGGTAAATGGAGTGGTGTGTGTACATCATTTAATACGAGGCCTGATGTAAAGAATAAAGAAGCCTCTCAGTTATATTAGCTCTTGTTATTTAGGCTCTAGAATAAATAAGACTTTTTGAATTAAAACACTGTATTAGTGACTTTAATGCTGGATTTATTTAGCACCTTAAAAATGTCACAGAGTCTGTAGTGATATACCAAAAATAACACTGAACTTATTTTGTATTCACCAGACCTTTTTGCTTCACTGAAAGAAGACTCAGATGACACTGGCAAGTGTCTGGAAGTGAGGCTGCATTTTGGCATTATTGCTGACTTTGACAGAGTAATTCTGTTGGACTTGTATTTAAATTGTATAAGTGTTTTACCCTTTGAAAATAAATCTATAAAACCAATCTTTTTCTCAGTCTTCAGTTTTTCCATAATGTCTGTAAAGTGTCTTTCCATACTGACATTATCTAATATTTTTAAATATCGGTCTGATTTGTCATTGATATTGATGCCTATCAAAAATCATTGCTTTTCCAGAAGTGTCCTTAAAATAAGTTTCTCTTCCCCACCTTCAGTATAAGGAATGACTGTATTTTTTTGGGCTCTGCTCCAAAAAAATGTTGCTTCAGTTTGGAGGATGGCAGGCTCTCTTTGCTCCTGAAAGTTCAGTTGGACATTGTGTCCTTTTGCCATTTATCAGTGAGCATCATTTCTGCTCCTCTTATTCGTGGCTCTGTGCTAGTTCCTTGGGGTTGTGTAGGTAACTTGTATTGCCTAGCTCTTGATGCGATTCAGTTTGAGAGTCATGTCAGAGTAACTGTCCTCCTTTTACTGAAATGTCTAGTTTGTAGGAGGGAGGAACCAAAGGCCTGTAGTAAGTAAGTGTCACTGAGGCAGAGGGACTGAGGTGAGAGACCCTGAGCCGGCAGAGAATTGCATGGTGTAGGGATGAGGTGGCAGTGGGATGGTGGTCAACTCTGGACTTGGGGCCACACTTGCAGGGTGCCTTCCTGGAGGTGCCCACTTGCTGGTTGCTCTGTGCTGCTCTAGTTATTCCAGGCGTGTCAGCAGAGTCCCTCCTTTGCATAAGAGAAAGCACACATTATTATGCTCTTTTTCCTTTTTAATATGTAAGGTATCTTGGAACACTGCCAAATTGGAGAATTAAGGAGCTTCCTCTTTCTGTTTTACAACTGCATTTATTTAACCAATAAATAAATGGGCATCCAGTAGGGAACTAGGCTGCCTGTGAGTCCCTCAGTTGGAACATGCCATATCTTAACATTTGGGGTATTTTAGTGATAAGGTGGTGTGGCTATTTTAAATCTCATGGCAACTGCACATTTTGCCAAAGTATCTGTGGTTTTTTTCTGCCTAAGATCACAAAGTTGAGCAGTGCTGCCACTAAAGTGACTAATTTGCTAGTATCTTAACCATATACTTGCAGTGAAATGGCACATTCACATAATTTTGTAGCCGTTATGAGTCCTGAAGGAGCCAAGATGAGGAAAAAAATATGCCAGATCATACACATAATGATAATTCATTGGTGCCAGGTACAGTGCCTCACGCATGTAATCCCAGCACTTCTGGAGGCTGAGGCAGAAGGATCACTTGAGCCCAGGAGTTTAAGACCAGCCTAGGCAACATAGCGAGAACTTGTCTCTACAAAAACATGGAAAAACTAGCTGGGTACATGTCTGTAGTCCCAGCTACTCAGGAGGCTGAGGCAGGAGGACTGCCTGAGCCCAGGAGTTCAAGGCCACCGTGAGCTGTGATTGTGCCACTGCACTCCAGCCTAGGTAACAGAAACCTCAACCTCCTCACCCCAAAAAAGATAACTCATTGGTAATGCCACTTGATCTGGTGGTTCAAGCAACAGCCAAGACCTTTCTGCTCTAAGAACTTACCAGAATAGGCCAGGTGCAGTGGCTCAAGTCTGTAATTCCAGCACTTTGGGAGGACAAGGTAAGAGGATTGCCTGAGCTCAGGGGTTTGAGACCAGCCTGGGCAACTTGGTGAGACCTCGTCTCTACAATAAATCAAAAAGTAAGCCAGGCATGATAGTGCGTGCCTGTAGTTCCAGCTACTTGGAAGGCTGAGGTGGAAGGATCGCCTGAGCCCAGCAGGTCGAGGCTGCGGTGGCCGTGAGCGTGCCACTGCACTCAAGCCTGTGTTGTAGGCAGTTCCCATGTGAGGGGGTGGCCTGTGAGATCTGTTTTGATGCAGTCACAGGCAGTCAAAGCCCTGTCTCTAGCCATCCCACCCATGTCTCCAGGCTTTACTGTATCCCCCAAACAGGAAGGACACTCATTCACCCAGTCACACATGAAGTACCCACTGAGTGCTGAGCACTTCCGGACCTGACTACACAAAGGTAAATGGTTTGTCTCCCATCTCAAGGAACTCACTATCTAGTATGGGAGATAGTTACAATCTAGGTGACAGTATCACACTCAACATGACTAGCAGTGCAACAAGCCAGCCTTCCATGCTGCTCTGGATGTGACACACTGAGAAGACCACAATACCTCTGAAGTAATCTTGCTAAAATCATTTAACCTGAACCTGAACCTGATTATGGGAAACAAACCCAGAGGTGAAGTAGTCTAAATGACCAGGACTTTTTAAAATGTCATAGGTGGCCAGATGTGTCTTATGCCTATAATCCTAGCACTTCGGGAGGCTGAGCGGGGAGGGCTTTTTCAGCCCAGGAGTTTGAGACCAGCCTGGACAATACAGTGAGACCACGTCTCTACCAAAAAAAAAAAAAAATCAAAAATAAGCTGAGCATGGTAGCACACCCCTATAGTCTCATGTACTTGGGAGGCTTAGGTGGAAGGGTCACTTGAGTCCAGGAGGTCAAGTCTGTAGTAAGCTGTGATTGTGCCACTCTGCTCCAGCCTGGGCAACAGAGTGAGACTCAAAAAAAAAAAGTCATAGGAAAATAAGGACAGGGTAATTGTTCTAAATTAAAGGACACCCAAGAGATATGACAACTTTATGGGAAATGTGGCATTTTTGGGACAATTCATTTTGGGGACAATCGGGCTGTATATAGGTGATAAGACAGTGATAAATTTCTTAGGTGTGGCCGGGCATGGTAGCTCAAGTCTGTAATCACAGCACTTTGGGAAGCTGAGGCAAGAGGACTGACTGAGTCTAGGAGTTCGAGACCAGCCTGGACCTGACCTTATCTCTACAATACATAAAAAAATTAGCTGGGTGTGGTAGCATGTGCCTGTACTTGGAAGGCTGAGGCAGAAGGATCGCCTGAGCCCAGCAGATCGAGGCTGCGGTGGTCATGAGTGTGCCACTGCACTCCAGTCTGGGTGACAGTGTGAGACTCCAACTAAAGAAAAAAAAACTTAGGTGTAATAATGTATAAAATTAGAGTAAGATTTTTTTTTTTTTTGAGTTGAAGTCTCACTCTCCCAGTCTGGAGTATAGTAGCATGATCATGGCTCATGACATCCTTGACCTCCTGGGCTTGGCAATCCTTCCACCTCAGCTTCCTGAGTAGTTGGGACTACAGGCACACACTACCACACTCTGCTAACTTTTATTTTTTGTAGAAACAAGGTCTTGCTATGTTGCCCAGACTGGTCTTGAACTCCTGGGCGCAAGCAGTCCTCCTTCCTTGGCCTCCCAAAGTGCTGGGATTATAGGTGTGAGCCACCACACCCAGTCAGAATAACCTTATTATCAGGAGATACATACTTAATATTTAGGAGTGAAACATGTCTACAGCTGACTTTTAAATGGTTCAGGAAAAAAAATTAAACAGTGAAAAATGTTAGCAACTGGTTATTAGGTGGTGTGTATATATGTGTTCACTGTACTATCCTTTCAGCTGTCTGAAATTTGTCAAAATAAAAAGTTGGGAGGGGCTGTCGCGGTGGCTCAAGCCTATAATCCCAGCACTTTGGGAGGTGAGACGAGAGGATTGCCTGAGCCCACCGGTTTGAGACCAGCCTGGGCAATATGGGTAAGACCTTGTCACTACAATAAATCAAAAAATGAGTTGGGTGTGGTAGCACGCGCCTGTAGTTCCGGCTACTTGGAAGGCTGAGGCAGAAGGATCCCCTAAGTCCAGCAGGTCAAGGCTATGGTGGCCAGGAGTGTGCCACCGCACTCCAGCCTGGGTGACAGAGTGAGACTCCAACGAAAAAAAAAAAAAAAACTGGGAGGAAACTCAACATGAAACATGAACAAGTAGTATATTGATAAGAACTGGATATCCAATAACATGGATTGAATAGAAAGTTTTATATAATGACATGGAAAGATTGGTGTTTTAGGTGAAATAACAGCATGATCCCCTTTCTGTAAACATACCAAAATGTTAATTATCATTACCAAGATATACATGCAGCTTATTTTTGCTAATCAGTATTTTCTAAATTATAAATAGATGTTGTGTAATAAATGAAAAATAGAAGTGACGTTGAGAAGAATGTGAGCCCTGGTAGTAGTTGAGCGGGAGATGAGGGGCATGCTGTTGGGAAAGGTTTTATTGGGCAGTGAAGCCTGGGCGTGACATCTAAGGCCAGGTAGGAGTCAGCCATGTGGGAAGACAGGAGGTGACATAGCTTGTTCAGTGTGGGGTATTGTTGGAGTATGATTGGGTGGGGTTGCCCATGGCTACAGACTTGGCTGGGACCAGGCCACAAAGGAGGAACCCACAGTCTGGTTAAGGAATTTGTTGGCAGTCGGTGGCACTACAGGATTTTCTGCAGGGGTACAAATATATTTGAGATCAATCCCTGGTAGCCACACAAAGGGTGGCCTGATGGGGATGAACTTGGGTTACTGGAAGAGCCCATGAGAAAAATGATTTGGAGGTTGGGATAATAGAGAGAGGGACTAGAAAGACTTGGAATAAAACCAGCAGAACTCTATCAGATGAAGAAGGAAATGAGTCTAGGGCATCTCCTACTGGTACTAGGGGAGCTGTTGTCTAAAACAGGGACTACGGCAGGCGTTCCCAACCCCCAGGCCATGGGCACAGTACTGGTCTCGTCTGTGATGTTGGAACTGGGCCACACAGCAGGAGGTGAACAGCAAGCTAATGTTAGCCCCAGTGCCTCAGCTCCACCTCATCGTCAGACATTAGATACTCACAAGGAGCACACAACCTAGATCCCTCTCATGTGCAGTTCACAATAGGTTCACATTCCTATGAGAATCTAATGCCACCACTGATCTCACAGGAGGCGGAGCTCAGGTAGTTGTGTAATTATTTTATTATATATTTTACAATGTAATAATAGAAATAAAGTTAACAAGAAATATAATGTGCTTGAATCATCTCAAAACCATCTCCTCCTCCCCGGGTCCACAGAAAAATAGTCTTCCATGAAACTGGTCCCTGATGCCAAAAAGGTCGGGGACCGCTGGCCTA